AACATGACCGCTCACCCCAAGGTAGACCCCGATAGCGGCGAGGCTTTCGGTTTCTAATATGGTCCGATACGTCCATTTCTAACTTACTTTTACTTCGATGCAAACGGAAACAAACACCCAGATGTGCACATTATGTCTATGCCACATCCATCTTTCGTCCATGATTTCGCAATAACGAAGAAGTACGCCTTGTTTCCCGACATACAAATGAGAATGAAAAAGCCTATAGAAATGATTTTCCAAGGAGGGAATCCTATGGTTTCAGATCCAACCAAAGTGGCAAGATTTGGAGTCATCCCTAGGTACGCCAAAAACGAGTCAGAAATGAGATGGTTCAACGTACCAGGGTTCAACCCTATGCATTTCGTGAATGCTTGGGAGGAGGACAATGAGAATGCAATAGTTATGTTAGCATCAAGCGTAACATCAATAGAACATGCATTGCAGAGATTTGACCTTGTGCGCAACAGGATGGAGAAAGTTCGAATCAACGTAAACACAGGGATGGTAACGAGGCAATCGATCTCATCAAGGAATCTGGACTTGGAAGTGATAAACCCATCGTACTTGGCAAAAAAGAACAGGTATGTGTACTCCGGTGTTGGTGAGCCATTGCCGAAAATGTCGAGAGTTGTGAAGCTAGATTATCCCAAAGGAGTGTCCAAGGACTGTACGGTGGCAAGCAGGATGTACGGGCCTGGATGTTACGGTGCAGAGCCCTTCTTTGTTGCTAAGGAAGGCGAGAATTCGGAAGATGATGGGTATTTGTTGACGTATGTTCATGATGAGAACACCAGAGAATCAAGGTTCCTGGTGATGGATGCAAAGTCACCCGATCTTGACATTGTGGCTACCGTGAAGCTGCCACAGCGCGTTCCCTATGGCTTCCATGGACTTTTTGTCAAGGAAAGTGAACTCAACAAATTTTAGGGCTATATATATATATATATATATATATATATTACCGAGCCAGTAATCTCTTTCTGATACAAATATATTATGTTATTGTGGTCTGTTTTCTTTACTGCAATTGTGGACTGCATGTGTTTTCACAACACACCATCTGTTTAAAGTAGCTTCAATGTCAACCTCAAATTACAACTTCTCAGTCATTAGTATTCCAACTTTTGGAAAACTCCTTCGAACAGTGCCATAATGCACACATCTATCCACAAATTATTCAGACACACGATATGTTACTGTTGTTTAAGGTTTCGATTAAAAATTTTGATAAATAGTTAACTATCGATTAATAATTAATAAATTATAATTAATTAATTATTATTTTTTGATAATAGAATTAAAAATAAAAATAAAATAGTTTCGACCCCACCCGAACATCACATTTTAAAAATCTCGACTCGAACCGAACTCGAATTTTTTTGAAAAAAAAATGATCTGATCGAATCAGATTAAGTCGGAACATGTCGAGTTCGGGTCTCATGCCCATACACTGCTGTATGCCACAGTAAGCCTTCTTAATATAAGCTCTTTAGCTAAAACATAAAAAGGGTAAATTATATAAGATAATTAAAATATGGTATGTATTATTATTATCATTGGACTTTCTTTTGTTTAGTTATAATATTAAATTTTTATTTTATTTTAATATAATTATTGGACCACTAAATTCTAAACAGTCTGATAATATGGACGGACTTTCTATCGCTACAACGGCATAAATACTATCTTATTATTATTTAAACCATATAAAATTCATTTAATTTAATTCTTTACTTTTATGTAATATAAAATTGTATCTTCTTTAAGTAAGCGAACAATATTAAACTAATAAATTTTAAACTATTCAAAAGCTACAAAACTAAAGTAAGCAAACCAACACATCACTGAGATAACTTGGGGCTTTGAGCGGTCATTAGAATTAAGATTTTATATACATATAAATTTTTTAAAAAATATACTATACATTTTGTATTAGAAATTAATATCTTTATTGTCTTGTTCTTCTTGTTATCTTTTCTTTATTTTATAATAATATATATTAACAATTCCATGATCTAATTTTTCATTTTGATTTATCAAAAAAATTCATTTTGATTATTCGGTAACATTTTTTTCATAATTTAATAATTTTGGTTTTTCATTCAATTTAAAAATACATTAACGATATCAACTTATTTCATAACATTTTAACTATTAAATAAATATAAGTTAACAAGGCATGAATCAAACAACTTTGTTGATAAAATAATTGTTATTATTTTTTGATATTCCAGAATTAAGCATCAGAAATATCAATGATATATATGATTATTCAATTTTAAATGGTTAAAAATTATATTTGAACGGATATTATCTTATACTTACCTCATATTAATAAATAAATAAATAATACGAGTTCAATTTTTAACTCAAACGCGTTGAAGCAAGATGTCGATCGAAATCTTTTCCGTTTTAAAATACTATGTATTAAATAAGATTTGAATATACTTTGCTGTTAGGGTTTTAAAATTTATTAGAATAAAGTTTTATAGGATATATGTTTTATTTATTTATAGATAGAGAGATATGATTTATTAATACAATATAAAATTTTTAAATTCTATATTTTTTTTAAGATGAATGAATATGAATAATTAAATTTAAGAGTAACGAATAAAGAATTTTTTTTTTTGAAAAATAGATTACTTTCAAATTTAAAAACTTTTATCATAACCATTAAACTCAAGTAATATAACGATGCACCGCTATGAAAAGAATATCCACCAAAAGTTAATCTTCATCCTCGTCCTATTATAACGAGTGGTTGAAATGCCAAAACAGGGGATATAATCTGGTCTCCATGATTATATCTAGTCTGGAGGATCAGAATTCAGCACAAGATATTAAATTGTGGTTGCCGTTGTGGTGTCGCAATGATAAGTGTTATAGATATTTCGATGCTATTTATTTTAAAAAATAGTTATAATTTTATATTGGGAATGCGATTGTGGTGTCGGAAACAACTTGGAAAATATCACGGCCCTACGTACACAGTAACACTAAGTTGAGGCCATAATTTAATCTTACGATTCAACGTGCTAATATATGACACAAAGGTTACACGTGTATGATTATATGTTTACACGGAAGATCGACGTGTAATAGTCTAATATACTGTTAAAGAAATGTGTTATCGGAAATGTTATTATTTTTTTAATTTTTTTGATAAAAATTTATCTAAAATATTATTATTTTTTATCGAAAATGTTATTATTGGACACTTTACCGACTTTGTTAACATATTCAGTAAAGCATTACCTAAAATATTTTTTTTTCTAACGTAAATGTTAATATTAGATACTTTACCGAAAATATTAAAAAACATTAATGTTTTAAGTAAAAATAATAATGTTTTACGTAATATTTTACCGAAAATATTAAAAAATAATAATATTTTTTGAAACGTTTTTCATAACTGTATATTAAGACTGTCTATGTTTACAGCGAGAATCGCATGCTTGGTTTTTTCCTTTTTGTCGACCATTGATGACAAGAGAAGATCCCAAAAAAACACTAAACCAGTTTGTTTCATTATATAACCACATGTTTTAGATGCCAGATCCCTTCTTCTTAACCATTGATGACAAATTTTGTATCCCATATTTGGGATTAAAGAAAACAGCGTTTTCTCCCTACTTGTCAACCATTGATGACAAGAGAATATCCGGTAGCATGCTAATGTACAACAAAATCCACGTTTACATGCCAGATCCCAAAAAAACACAAAACCAGCTTGTTTCATTACCTAACCACCACATGTTTTAGATACCAGATCCCTTCTTCTTGACCATTGATGATAAATTTTGTATATGTTATGAAATAATCGAGTACGAGTAATTTTCTTATAATTAGATTAGTGGGAATGTGAAATAAAAGCAGAAAAATAATACATGAAATTGATAACGGAGTTCAGTCAATTTTGCTTAGGTCTCCAGACTGCTGCATATCTTTTACTAAGAGAGAAAATTTACAGGTGTTTACAAAACACTCACTACTCATAAGAAAGCTATATAGTATTGAGAGAAAGAAAATGATTTGAGATTTTGGAATGATCTTGAAGCTAAATGGGATAGAGTATTTATAGTTGAAGCTTAAAGACTAATCCTAAAGTTCAATGACTTAATTTGGTGAATATCCCTTGCCCAAAATGAGCTGCCTAACACTCCCCAATGATTTTCAGAACCGGACCGGTTAGCGAATCGACCATGCTACCGGTTCACTGGTTCAACCGGTCGAACCAGTCCGATCTGTCGGAAGAACCGGACGACGTCATAATTATTTAAAAAATTAAATAAAAATACCAAAATTATTTAATAAAAAATAATTTTTTATATCACAATTTATATTCAAAGCAAGTCATAACATATATAAGTTAAAAACCATAAAATCAAGTGAAACAAAATGATTCAAATTAACTACAACATAATATTTAAGGTAAAACATATTAACTAATAAATATAATTATATAACTATAATTAAAAAATAAATTTGGGGCTAAAAAATTATAACAAAATAATATTGTTTGGTTTAATTTTTTTTTAAACAATCCCGTATGGCTAAGAAACACAGAAGATCATCTCAACTAACTTCTATAAATAATAGAAGTAATTTGGCATTCAAAATCATGGACCATTGAGTGAACTATTCTTTCACTTCAATCAAGCTCGAATTTTAGGTTTCAATCGAGCTTCTAATTTTTTTTTTTGAGTTCAAGCCTTTTCGAGTTCAAGTTTCAATATTATATTTCGAGTTCGAGTTAAACTTCATAATTTTTAGCTCGTGAATTTGAATCGAGTTGAGCTTACTTTTAAATTTTTCAAGTTCGAGTCGAGCTCAACAATACTCGAGTTTGACTTGGCTCGTATAAGTTCACTAGTAGCGGATCAACCGGTCTAGATTGAACCTGCCAATCCGATTTTCAAAACAATACTCCCCCCCCCCCCGGCGAATTTGAAGCAGCCACCGGCTGCTAGCATTTATCATTTGACCAACAGCATCCCACATTTGAGATTAAATAAGACAGCGACACTCGGCTTCATTCGTGCAGCACTCCTATCCTTCCTTGCTTACCGCATTAACAAATCTCTTACCATCGTTGTTGCCGGTTCTTATCTCAACATGAACGCTATCTCCTTCCGCTTTCTCCCACAACTCGTCTTTAGGCCGATTTCAATGCAATCATTACCACCTTCCCTTAGCACTAGACCTAATGAAACTAAGTCCCAAGCTTCTAATATCCAAAGTCCACCACTAACTGTTCTCTCCTCATCCATTGGTGCCACGGTGAACACACGTATATTCGATACGTTCGAAGATATTATCCACAACTTCATAGACCCTCCTCCTCTCCCTGCAGTTGATCCCAGGCTTGTGCTGTCGGGCAACTTTGCACCTGTTAATGAGCTCCCTCCAACAGAGTGTGAGGTGATACAGGGAGCCCTTCCTTCATGCCTAGACGGTGCGTACATACGCAATGGCCCCAATCCACAGTACTTCCCTCGCGGCTCCTACCAACTGTTTGATGGTGATGGCATGCTTCACTCCCTTAGAATTTCCCAAGGCAGAGCCACTCTTTGCAGCCGTCATGTCAAGACATACAAGTATACCACCGAGCGAAATTTGGGGTCTCCGATTGTTCCCAATTTGTTTTCAAGCTTCACCAGCCTTCCCGCTTGCATTGCTCGTGGTTTTCTTTTGGCAGCTAGGATTATAATCGGTCTCTATGATCCTACAAATGGCATTGGTGTTGCTAACACTAGTTTGGCCTTGTTCGGCAATCGTCTATACGCGCTCTGCGAGAGTGATTTACCATATGCTGTACGCTTGACGTCCGATGGTGATATAGAGACATTAGGTCGCCATGACTTTGGTGGAACACTGTTAACTAACATGACCGCTCACCCCAAGGTAGACCCCGATAGCGGCGAGGCTTTCGGTTTCCGATATGGTCCGATTCGTCCATTTCTAACTTACTTTTACTTCGATGCAAACGGAAACAAACACCCAGATGTGCACATTATGTCTATGCCACATCCAACTTTCGTCCATGATTTCGCAATAACGAAGAAGTACGCCTTATTTCCCGACATACAAATGAGAATGAAAAAGCCTATAGAAATGATTTTCCAAGGAGGGAATCCTATGGTTTCAGATCCAACCAAAGTGGCAAGAGTTGGAGTCATCCCTAGGTACGCCAAAAACGAGTCAGAAATGAGATGGTTCAACTTGCCAGGGTTCAACCCTATGCATTTCGTGAATGCTTGGGAGGAGGACGATGGGAATGCAATAGTTATGTTAGCATCAAGCGTAACATCAATAGAACATGCATTGCAGAGATTTGACCTTGTTCGGAACAGGATGGAGAAAGTTCAAATCAACGTAAACACAGGGATGGTGATGAGGCAACCGATCTCATCAAGGAATCTGGACTTGGCAGTGATAAACCCATCGTACTTGGCAAAAAAGAACAAGTATGTGTACTCTGGTGTTGGTGAGCCATTGCCGAAAATGTCGGGAGTTGTGAAGCTAGATTTGTCCAAAGGAGAGTCCAAGGACTGTACGGTGGCAAGCAGGATGTACGGGCCAGGATGTTACGGTGGAGAGCCCTTCTTTGTTGCGAAGGAAGCCGAGAATTCGGAGGATGATGGGTATTTGTTGACCTATGTTCATGATGAGAACACGGGAGAATCAAGGTTCCTGGTGATGGATGCGAAGTCGCCCGATCTTGACATTGTGGCTACCGTGAAGCTGCCACAGCGCGTTCCCTATGGCTTCCATGGACTTTTTGTCAAGGAAAGTGAACTCAACAAATTTTAGGGCTATATATATATTACCGAACCAATAATCTCTTTCTGATACAAATATATTATGTTATTGTGGTCTGTTTTCTTTACTGCAATTGTGGACTGCATATATTTTCACAACACACCATCTGTTTAAAGTAGCTTCAATGTCAACCTCAAATTACAACTTCTCAGTCATTAGTATTCCAACTTTTGGAAAACTCCTTTGAACAGTCGTGTCTGAAATCTGAATCTACCTCAAGCGCACTCTATGAAGTGCGATATAAGCAATGAGTCGATATCCGACCAGCATGAGTGCCATAATGCACACATCTATCCACAAATTATTCAGACCCACGGATTTGATGGCCGGAAGATCCCCGACGCTACACCATATTCCCTTTGAGCACTCGTAATACTCCTCCTTGTACTGAACTCCAAGCAGAAGCTTGTAACAATAGTAGCTATAGCTCAGGTACTTTAGCCACACTATGAAGGCCGGGATTTGTTGAACATAGTATCCCCCGGCTATAAGGAACACAAGCGTTGTTACTGAAGCTAATGTAGTGGCTTGTTTAACGTCCATGAGAATAGCCCCGATGGCTAGCCCCAGGCTTTGAGAGACAAGCACATTGTAAATCACCACCAGCAGAGATAGGATGAAGGTAACAGGGTCAGGTTTAAGGCCACCCATCCAATAGATTATGAAGAAAAAGGCTATCGGGAGTCCGAGCTCCAATGGTAAATCTCCGAATGTTCTAGCTAGGAAGTAAGACGAAAGGCAGTACATCCCAGAAGAACGTTCCTTGATTAGCATTCTTCTTTCTTGAGGAAATGTGAATACAGCGTTGTAGAGTGGATAGAATCCCCAGAATACGGAGAAGAAAAACAAAAGTGCAATCTATTTTAGAAGATACAAAAAAGCATTTGTTTAGTTTCGAAATTGTCACCATTGCTACTTAATTACAGCGTTGATTATCGAAGAAGAGGTCTTACGCGGTCTGCGATGTGAGAAGCCGGGGTATGCCACCATAGGCGTCCACCGAGTGCTGCGACACTGATGACTTGGAAAATTCGAAGCCTGTTGAAGGCTTCATACCTCCTTTCTCTAACCCCTCTTTGGAGCAGCACCTTGAACTGATGCCACCAACTTGTGCACCACTGTTCTGATTTGTCATTCCCTGCATTAGTTAATGCATGAAAAAATTACTACTTAAGTTCATCTCTGTACTAAAGAGTAATCAAGGAAATTTGATGGATTTCAGAGAAAATTACTAGCAGAAGCTTCTTTTGTATTCATGCAGCTATTGGCATCTGAATTGCAAAGCTCGGCTTTCAGTCTTATAGAAATGTTTTTCTCGTAGGCAGAAATAAGAGCATCCTTCATCTGTTCTTGTTCTGTACTCTCAACATGTTCCACCGAGTGTGTGAAATCCGGTCTGATTCCCGCGTTGAACCGCAATGGATGTTGTTCAGGAAGTAAGAATTCATTGCCTAATCGCCAATATGCAAGCTATTGAAGAAGCAGAGCTGAAAAATTACCATTAGCAAGGTCAAGTAAGACATCAGCTGGATTAACAGTCATGGATGCTGAAAAACCAATGGAGTAAAAATATTCCAGGGCAGCCGATGCCCGATGCCGAACCGTAGTAGATGGGGCAGCCCTCAGAGAGCAAAACTACCTTGTCGAACATGTGATACAGTCGACTAGAGGGCTGATGAATGGTAGTGACAACAGTTCTGCCCCCACTAGCCAGGCGTTTGATCGTGGTCAGGATCCGTTGTGCCGTGGTCGTGTCCAAACCCGAGGTGGGTTCGTCTAACAAAAGTATGCTTGGGTTGATTAACATTTCCTGGCCTATGCTAACTCTCTTCTTCTCCCCTCCTGATATTCCTCTAAAGAGTGGCCCCCCGATCATGCTATTCCGGCACCTCGTTAGTCCCAGCTCAGCGATAACTCCATCCACATATCGGACTATCTGTTCTCGGTTCACGCTGTCGGGTAGCCTCAGCCCTCAGCAATGCAGTGAATAGAAGGGTCTCGGTCACTGTCAGATGAGGGTATAAAACATCATCCTGAGCCACGAATCCTACTCTTCGCTTTATGGCACCACAAAAAGGCTGGCCATTGTATGTTATCTTCCCAGATAGCTCGTCGGTGAGGCGGCCTCCGAGAGCAGTAAGGAGGGTGTTGAAAGTATTAAAATGGTTTTCAAGTTTGGCAATCAATTTTGAAAAAATGGTTTTCAAAATTTGGTAAATGTTTCTTTGAAAATGGTTTTCAAAGTTTGGTAAATGTTTCTTTGAAAAATAATTTTTCAAAGTTTGGTAGATGTTTGTTGAAAAATGATAATGGGATAATCATAATTAATCCCTAGGTTTTAGGGTATTTACAAGATTAAGTCATTAAGTTTCAACTATAAATACCCTAGCTCATTTAGCTTCAAAACCATCCCAAAAATCATTTCTTTCTCAAAATACTAGAGAGCTTTCTTGTGAGTAGTGAGTGTTTTGTAAACACCTGTAAATTTTTTCTCTTAGTAAAAGATTTGCAGCAGTCCGGAGACGTAAGCACAATTGGCTGAACTCCGTTATCAATTTCGGGTATTATTTTTCCGCTTTTATTTTGCATTCTCACTAATCTGGTTATAGGGAAATTACTTGTACTTGGTTTATTTCCCAACAACTGGTAATCAGAGCTTTTGAGTTGTGAATTTTGTCAATTTTTTGCGAGGTTACTATTTGGGTTACTATTCACGTGAATAGTGAATTTCGTGAATAGTGAAATTCGGTCGGCGATACGAGTTTGTCGACGGAGGTGTTCTAATACACGACGGTTCGCAAAAATTGTCAGAAACGATCCAAACGAAGCCAGATTCGAGTGGGAGCGATGGCTGCAGACGAAGGGAAGGTGAAAATTGAAAAGTTCGATGGTGCGGACTTTGGATTTTGGAAGATGCAAATTAAAGATTTTCTATACCAGAAAAATCTATATCAACTCCTCTCAGGAAAACAACCAGAGGGCATGAAGAATGAAGACTGGGCTCTTCTCGACAGACAAGCCCTCGGAGTTATCCGACTGACGTTATCCCGCAATGTTGCTTTCAACATAGCAAAGGAAAAGACCACGGCGGGTCTTATGACGGCTCTCTTCAGTATGTATGAGAAGCCATCGGCCTCAAACAAAATTCATTTGATGAGACGATTATTCAATTTTTGGATGACGGAAGGGGCATCGGTGGCACAACACCTAAATGAACTCAACACAATCACAACCCAGTTGAGTTCAGTGGAAATTGAATTTGATGATGAAGTTCGAGCTTTAATTCTCTTATCATCTTTACCAGACAGTTGGAATGCTACTGTTACAACAGTCAGCAGTTCGTCGGGAAACAACAAATTAAAATTCGACGATGTTCGAGATCTGGTACTGAGCGAAGAAATTCGACGGAGAGAATCGGGTGAAGCATCAACCTCCTCAGCCTTGCACACGGAGTCCAGAGGGAGAACTTCAGAAAGAAATTCAAATCGTGGCAGATCGAAATCCAGAAGGGGAAAATCAAGAACAGGAAATAAAGATTTTACCTGTTATAATTGCGGCAAGAAGTGCCACTTCAAAAGAGATTGCCGAGCACCGAAGAAAAATACCGGCGCACAGGAATCTGCCAACATGACGGAGGAGACAGGTGATGCCATGATTCTAAGCGTCAACAGTCCGATTGAATCATGGATCTTAGATTCAGGGGGTATCTTTCCACTCCACCCCATGCCGAGAAATCATGGAAAATTATGTCAGTGGTGATTTTGGGAAGGTTCATCTAGCTGATGATGAAACCTTAAAGATCATCGGAAAAGGAGACATCCGACTAAAGTTGCCAAACCAAACCACCTGGACGCTGAAAGGAGTGAGACATATTCCTGGCCTCAAAAGAAATTTGATTTCTGTAGGACAACTTGACGGTGAAGGATTTAGCACAACCTTTTCAGGCTGTGAATGGAAGATTACCAAAGGAGCACTCGTCATTGCTCGTGGTAAGAAAACTGGTACTCTCTATATAACATCAAATTTAGAGAATATCATTGCAGTAGTTGATGCTGATGGAAAATCAAACCTATGGCACCAAAGGCTTGGCCATATGAGCGAGAAAGGGATGAAGACACTTTTGTCAAAGGGGAAGCTGCCGGATCTAAAGAATGTAGATGTCGGACTATGTGAGGATTGCATCTTTGGCAAACAAAAGAAAGTCAGCTTTGCAAAGATTGGTAAGACACCCAAGGCTGAAAAGTTAGAGTTAGTTCATACTGATGTATGGGGACCATCTCCAGTTCCATCTCTTGCAGGCTCATTATATTATGTCACATTCATCGATGATTCTACAAGGAATGTGTGGGTTTATTTTCTGAAGAAAAAATCAGAAGTCTTTGATACCTTCAGAAAATGGAAGGCCATGGTGGAAAATGAGACTGGTATGAAAGTCAAGTGGTTGAGGTCTGACAATGGAGGAGAGTACAGAAATAGGAGATTCAGAGATTTTTGCGCAAACAATGGGATCAAGATGGAGACAACAGTTCCCATGACACCGCAGCAGAATGGCGTAGCAGAGCGCATGAACAGAACTCTGAATGAACGTGCCAGAAGCATGAGGATACATGCCGGATTGCCCAAATTTCTATGGGCTGAAGCTATCAACACTGCAGCTTACCTGATCAACCGTGGGCCCTCAGTTCCTTTGGATGGCAGAATACCAGAGGAAGTTTGGAGTAAGAAAGAAATAAACCTTTCACACATAAGAGTGTTTGGTTGTATTTCTTATGTACACATAGACTCTGCTGAAAGAAGTAAACTTGATGCTAAGTCCAACAAATGTTCCTTTGTTGGTTACGGCGGTGATGAGTTCGGTTACCGGTTTTGGGACTATGAAAATCGGAAGATCATTAGAAGCAGAGATGTCATTTTCAATAAGAATGTGATGTACAAAGACATGTCAACTGTAGAATCAAGCATCTCCAATACCAAAGCTGAAACAAAGGAATTTGCTGAGTTTGAGGAGATTTCTGGAAATGATGTTCAGATCAGTCCTAAAGCAGTTCAAGAAGAACCAGGCACACCGGAACTAAGACGCTCCTCCAGAATTCCTAAACCAACCCAACGGTATTCTCCTTCTTTGCACTACTTATTGCTAACTGACAATGGTGAACCAGAGTGCTATGATGAAGCAATGCAAGTGGACAATTCAGTCAAGTGGGAGTCTTCCATGAAAGATGAGATGGACTCGCTTTTATCAAATCAGACGTGGGAATTAGCTGAATTACCACCAGGCAAGAAAGCGCTTCACAACAAGTGGATTTACAGGATCAAAGAAGAGCACGATGGGAGCAAACGCTACAAAGCGAGATTGGTTGTCAAAGGTTTTCAGCAAAAAGAAGGTATTGACTACAATGAAATTTTCTCTCCAGTCGTGAAATTGTCTACAATCAGACTGGTGTTAAAAATTGTAGCTGCAGAGAATTTACATCTTGAGCAGTTAGATGTAAAGACAACTTTCCTTCATGGTGATTTGGAGGAAGAAATCTATATGAGGCAGCCAGAAGGCTTCATAGAGGCAGACAAGAAAAACCTGGTATGCAGGTTGAAGAAGAGCTTGTATGGTTTAAAACAAGCTCCTAGACAGTGGTACAAGAAGTTCGATAGTTTCATGAGTAGCAGTGGTTTTACCAGATGCCAAGCAGATCATTGTTGCTACATCAAGAGGTTCGACAATAGCTTCATTATTTTATTGTTGTACGTTGATGACATGCTCGTTGCAGGCTCAGACATGCAAGAGATTATAAACTTGAAGCAAAAATTGTCAAAGCAGTTTGCTATGAAGGATCTGGGCGCTGCAAAGCAGATTCTTGGGATGAGGATCAAGAGAGACATAAAGTCAGGGACTTTGATATTATCACAGGCTGAGTACATCAACAAAGTACTCTCCAGGTTCAACATGCAATATGTTAAACCAGTAAGTACACCTTTAGGTGTTCATTTCAGACTCTCCAAAGAACAGTCACCAAAGACGGAGGAAGAACGTGCACACATGGTGAAGGTGCCGTACGCCTCAGCGATTGAAAGTCTGATGTATGTCATGGTTTGTACCAGACCAGATATTGCTCAAGCAGTGAGAGTTGTTAGCAGGTACATGAATAATCCGGGCAAGGTACACTGGGAAGCAGTCAAATGGATCCTCAGATATCTGCGGGGTACCACAAACAAAGCACTTTGTTTCAAAGGTGGAGATACGATACTGACAGGCTATGTAGATGCTGACTTAGCCGGAAATGTTGACATCAGAAGGAGTACTACATGGTATGTCTATACTCTAGGAGGAACCGCAGTGAGTTGGGTTTCTCAACTACAGAAGATAGTTGCTCTTTCCACAACTGAAGCAGAAT